TGCTCTTTCCATTTACAGTCGCTATGTAAGTTGGTTCTACACTAAGGTCTCTTCACATTAGCATGTTCCAGGAAAACTTTCAAATTAAGGGGCACAAACTGCCTCCTGATTAGCAGCTGGAACCATCTAGACTGTCTCCTTTTGATGTGGAGCAGCATTTAAATAGATTCCTCTTCTGATATTTAAAACAGGAAATATATGGTCTTCTTCATTTATTAACAGTGTTGACATTTAAAGGTTTGGCTGTCTGCAAGATCTACTAACATTAAAGCAATTACAACAATGTTCGATTTTTTTATGGCAGACTGGTTACCAGTTTGAGTCCATCAAGGTGTACAATTGACAATTATTTTGTCACAAGGGGAATTCTGGAACTTTTCTATTAAGAAAAACATGCAAATATGACAAAACATCTCCGATTTACATTAGATGTAGTTACCAGAGATGAAAATGCAGGTGCAGTTTAGCCGTTTTATCTGGTTAAGACTTAACTTGACCTATGCAATGGAAATTCCTCATCCTTAATAACACTGAGGATTTCCAGAACATAAAAGGCAGATGTGTGACATAATAGCCAAGTCACTAAACTCGGAAGTTGCTCGAAAAGAAACTTCAGTTTTAGATGTTTTGAAGGACATGTATGGGGCTGTGAACGAATGATTACCTGAATATGCCTTTGGCAAAGTTCACTCTATGACTGTCTGAGAGTGACAGTGGGCTAAGAGTTGGCTTTGTTTCTTGTAAGTGATTTTATAAATGTGATATTAACCTGTGCTACCGTCGGGCAAAGGGACAGGAGGGATGGGAAGATAGCGGGGGCTTGTCAGCTTGCCATCTTTCTGATTTCCCGACATTTGACATCACTTTTCCTTCTTTCCCCCTACGGGTGCCATTAAGAATTTGAGGGAGAGGGGGGCCAGAGGCCTGAGGGAAGAGGGAGGAGAGGGCCGGTAGATGGGCCCCATATTGCGCATCTTCTTACCACCCTGTGTGGTGCTGGCAGCATCCTCCATTGTCTCCCATCAAAAGCTCATTGTAGTGTAGCAAACCCCATTCATTTCCCTGCACACCGTCCCAGCCTCCAGGGGTGGAGTGCAGGAGGACAAGGGGCTCAGGGATTATTGGTGTTTTTGTTGCCAGTTGCACATGCTGTAATGTGCGCCACTGTGCCATTAGCCAGTGTACAACATTAGGCCTAATTCGGTCATTACCTTTAGGGAGATGGGGCTGTCTTGAAGGAGTATGCTGGGCTCAGCAGGGGGCTGAAGATGCTTACATGGAGGGGGGGGAGCTCAGAGGGCTGAGGGGGACACACGGTTTGAAGCTCAAATATAGAAGATAACACCTGAGAAACCCATTATTATGTTTGTCCTAAATTTAGGGGTTTATAGTGATGAGCTGGCATGCGCATAAAAAAATAAATAAAAATAATGACCTATATTTACTTTTTCAACCAAAAAGTTCTATTTAAGCAAAAATAATTTGCTGTACGTTGTTGCTGTGCCATCACACATACAAATGGATGCTGCTTTCACTGGAGCACATATATTAAGCTCTCTGGTGCTTTGAATGGCAGCACGCAGCCACACATGTAGCAGCCCTTCGTCGAGGCGTCTGTTTCAATTTCCCTGCTCCCTTACAACAGCCCCCCTGAGACAAGTCATTAGCTGGCTCAGACAGCTGGGGGCACAGGGGTCCTCTGTGTGCACCCCCCACCCCCTTCCTCCCTCACACTCCTCCTCCCTTTCTATACCGACTTCAGTCCCGCCAGCACAGCTCCGTATGGCAAGCGGAAGACATGAGCTCCAACCTGCCTCTGAAGTGACATCCAGCATTTGTTTAATGTCGCTTGAGGTTAAAGGGGAGGGCTGGCCCTTGGGGGCCCCCCAACCGTGTCATAAACACCTCTAATTATCAATTTCTGAGCCCTAATGTTCTGGAAAATGACCCTGGTTCTTTTGATTCTGCACCTGAAACATGCTCCTCAATCTGTTACACAAAGGTGGAGTGCAGAGGAAATGACACAAAGCTGAGCAGCAATAGGGAAGCATCACAAACCTAATAGATGGGAACAATTTTCTAAAAGTGGTTTAAAGCCTTAAACTATGTTAAGCTGTTAAATAAAACTAGTTAATATCGGACTTATCAAGTTGAAAATAATCTGATTGAGAAAGCCCAGAAATCACGGCGGCATTATTAGGCGACTGTTAGTGTGTATGAGGGCCATCAGGACCAAGCTGGGTAATGAGTTGCACTGGGGATCAGGAGGCTCTAACCACTCAGCTACAATCACCTGGGCAGCAGATAGGTACCAGGCTAACCTGTGATTAGAGTGTATTACACTCCCACCACGTAGATGATGGCTTAAATGTGCTTCAGGATGAAGGTTGAGGGTGAGACAAAGAGTACGCTGCAAGCAGCCTCTTGCCTTTATCAGAGCCACACTGAGAGAGAGAGAGAGAAGTAGTGGTGGTGTGGGGGTAATGGAAGGAGGGATTTATATCATTTTTATTCAAGAGGCTCAAGGTAAGGAGCACCATCATTCCCCCAGGCCCCTTGACACGGCAGCTCTGCCTGTCCTCAATCAAAGCCAACGGCTGCAATTAATGGCAAAAATTAGAAACAATCACCGCCTCCCCCTTATTATCCTCAATTAGAGCGCACTAATCAAGGCCTGATCGCGCTCTGCTGCTCTCACCAAACTAAATGTCAAACTTCATTACAACCTGGCTTAGAAATCAAACGCCCCGCACGCCATCACCCTCGCATCGGGAGGCCGACATATAAAATAATGCGTCATAGAAAGAGGGCGATCTGTGCATTAAGGAGCTGAACTGGAAAGTTGTGTTGTACACTAACAAGTCCAGGAAAATACACTTCATGAGATAATAAAAAAAAATAATAATATCAAATATCATATGAGAGAGAAGCAAATTAATACTGCATTAAAGTAAAAATGTTCATTTATTCCCTGCTTTGTAGTCTTACCCTATTTGGATAACAGCTCAGAGATATGGATCCGTATTTAAGTCCATTATTGTCATTACTGTAAATATAATGAAACTGGCATTTTCATTGTTTTTCTTTTTCACAGAGTGCCTGTAAATCCTCCACTTAAAAAAAAAATTTAAATAGAGCAATATACCTTACTTATATCGCATAAATACTGTTTCCTGCTGAAGATGACAGCTTAGAGAGAGCATCCTGTTACTATGATGGGCAGGGTATCAAGACTAAAACATGTTGCTATTCATAAAACACCAAAAATCTTTTCCATCTTTATATTTATGGACTAAATCTGTGTAACAGACCAAGCTTGACCCAATTAAAAAGAATATAAAATAATAATATTAAAAAATATTTATTATTAGGGTAAAAGGAACAAGCATGGCTTTGATTATTATGACTATAAGCTTTTAGGAAGGTG